AATATTCTAGCATTCCCTACCTTTATTTTCTTGGAAAAGTAAATAAAGCAAATTCTCTCAGCACTTAAAAGACACTTTCCTGTGGAACTTATTATTTTAGTATGCATCATCACATTGTACAGTCCTCTATTTATGTAATAATTAGTTTGTGGGAATGGAAGTAAAGGAAGATGCTGTGTGCTGTATAGCACAGTTCTCAAGCAATTTTCACATTTTGTAGTAGTGGATAAGCTAGAAGGTTCCTGCTACATCAAAATGACAGAGAGCTGCACTAACAGGAAAAATAAGAAAAGTGCATGAGTATTGTGCGTTGCCTTCCCATGTCAGGATGCCAATAATGACAAAGAAAAGAGAGGGTTTTTTAGATGATGTGAAGCTAATAAGCTGGAGAGGATACCAGAGACTGGGTACGTCTACACATGCATTAATGCGTTTTTCCTAATGTACATTAAATTTTAGTGCCTCCAATGTGAGGTAAATGTGCATTAGGCTGCTCTAATGTGCAGTAACAAAAGCATAGACTTTTTTAGTGACGCTTAATGGTCAGTAGTCTATTTTACTGTGCATTAACATATTTGCATGATTTTTTACAAAGCACTTTAATATGCAGTAAAATAGGCTACTGAGCATTAAAGCACACATGTTAGATACACCCACTGTGCAGTAGAGATGGAAAGGGGAATAGATGTAGAAGGAAAGTGTTCATGTAGACCCTAGGGTCTCTCATAAAAAAAAAATATACAAAATATTTGTTATTGTTTTAGAAAGCTGTTTATAATTCTTGCCCAGCCCCCTGGTTGAGTTTAGGTGAGGTGAGGGTTTGTGCTTTTTCTGATAACTGACTACTTAGTCTTCCCTATCCCCTTCAAACACAGCACATTTCTGATCTCAGTAAAATCAGCTGAGTTCTGCTGTTAACTTCTATCTGGCTAAGACTTTGTATTTAATACCAGGTACTGTTGTTTTTTCCCTATGAATATTATAACGTTCACTTAATTGTTCTAAGTCTTAAAAAAAAGTTGATGCAAAAGATAATATTGTCAATGGTAGTTCCTTTCAGTTTGAAAAAAATGGAAAACTCCATTAATTGAGAATGTAATGCTTTTGCATTTTTATGTGATGCATATATGGAAAAATAGAATTGTTCTTAACCTCACATAATAAAACATTAATCATTATAGAAGACTGTGGTATGCACCAGGATTCAAGAGTCTGAACTGCTGTTCTTCTTTAAGAATATAAATTCTTAATAATTTTAGGACATTCTCTTTTTCAGTTTAATTTCATTTAAGTTTACAATTTTTGAAGAAAATTGATGCAAAATCTGTTAGTGATCACCTTTATTTTTCGTAAATCCCTCTTCTGAACAATTCAAAGATGTGCTATTATATATGTTAGATGGGGAACAAAGCTTACTTAAAAAAATAGTTTACCAGGTATTTTCTTCAATTAAGCATCTGAAATGTAATGGTACTGCTGTTTGGTCTCTTATGTCTAGTACCACTATGGCTAAGTACAGACAGTCAAAAAACCCAAAGTTAAATTGATTCAATCTCTCCAAATTAGTTTAAGATGTGTAGATTGAGCCAATAAGCAAGTGAACAGACATTCATGCTTGATTCTGGATATGCAGCCATGTGCCTGCAGTGGCCCAGGCCAGAAGGTAGGGGTGCTAGAGCATGCCTCCCTGCTTGGCTGGAGCAGACAGTTTGGGCCAAAGCTATCCCACCCACCCTGTGAGGGGGATTTGGGGGGGACGTGGGGTTTGTGGGGAATCCCTTAGCCATGCCCCCATCTTAGCCTTCAGCCAGCTGAGGGGAGGAGGAAGCCCTGGGCAGGGCTTGGCTCCATCCCCCCCAGAGCTGGGAACAGGGCTGGGGTCCCCTAGCCACACCCCTCTCTTAACCTCTGGGCTAGCTGACGGGAGAGGGGCAGAGAAGGGGGGCAGCTTGGCTCCACCCCTCCAGAGCCAGAAGCCATGCCCCCTCCTCAGTCTCTAGGGTGGTTGAAGGCAGTGGAGGGGAGAAGCACCACTGGGGCTTGGCTTTGCCCCCCACAGCTGGGAGCCATGCTTCTTCTTAGCCTCTAGGCCAGCTGAGGAGGGGAGATGGAGAAGCCTGCATTTGGGTCTAGTTCACTCTGGAAACTAATTGTTAACAAACAGAGGATTATTTATGAACTATTCCACAAAAATATTTGGATTATTGCTCTAATTCTAGACCTAAGCACTTTCACATTGCAAGCCATGTATAGGAAAATATGCCATACTGCATGTCACAATTCAGTAGGGTTAGAGTACACCCCTTAAACATTTTTGTCACTATGCTCCTTTCCAAATTATATAGAATACAAATGATTTAGATTTTTTTAAATTACTTTTATCTTGCACAAAAATATTTCATGTATTCTAGAACTGAACATTACAGTTTATAATGCATGCTAGAGCGTCCTTTTACAACAACTCTAAATGTGAAATCTGGAGATATTGCCCTTCCTCATTGGGATGCAGAATATCTAAATTCTGTTTTTCTTTTAATCCAAGCTTTTTATTAAAAACAATAACCAAGCTCCCTAGAAATATATGAAGCAAAATACGCTCCTAAAGGTGTTCACAGCAACTGTGAATCTCTGTGTATAAGCATGAGTGTTTAAATAAAGAAATGGAAGCTAAGTAAGATTTTAGATGGTGGATGTAATGTATAATGTAATGCAATACATGATGGATGTAATTTATGATTTATATGATCAGCCATAAAACCTTTTATTTCTTTGGCAGGCAATCAGCTTAGTAAGTTCACCCATGGTTAGTTTTCCTCCACCCCCTGCAGTAGCAAGTAGCTTCCACGCCAGCTAGTTTCTACTCTTAAGCAGATATGTTGATAGAGTTGCTACCTACATTTAAGACAGAATTACAAGATTTATTTATAAGAGAAACATAAGTTTATCTAACAGAAAGTTGCATTGAATTGGAAGAATAAAAAAGTGTAATGCTGATTTTTTTTTTATACTAGTCAGTTAAATTATGCATGAAATGGTTTTTATTAAATGAGAAGAGGGTAGACTAGCACATGTTAAGAAAAATAGTATACTAACCTTTTATATTAATTTTGAAAAACAAGACTTGCGTTATGCAAGCATACAATTATCCTTTTACTACTAATTAATTAAGTGCAAATTAATTGTTCTCTAAGTGCAAAATAAAAATACCATATCGCTCTTTTCTCAAATATACTAATCAAATATAAAAATGTAATTAATGTTCTCCCAGATAAAAATAGAAAGCAATAATAAAAAAAGCAGTAAGCCTCTTCCTAGCCACCATTACTTGCTTGGGAAAAATAGGTTCTTTTAAACTGCCCTAAGTTGGAATTTGACTTATTTTGTTGTAACCTAGTTCCATTATAGTACTACTGCATACATTAATAAACATGTCTCTGGTGGAAAAATGTGTTAACGCTATACAATTTGCTTGTTGAAATACTAACTTCAGATGTGATCTTGTCTGCTGTTATAAGATGAACTGGGCCTAGCTTAGTCAGTACTTGGATGTGAGATACCTCTGACCCTGCAAAAAGTTACGTTACTGATCCAGTGGCTTGCGGTCAGTGTTGATCCAGTGTCTTATTATCATTTTTAAATTTTGCTGGTTAGACTTGCTGTTTTATGGATGCCAAGAACAAGGTGACCACTTGTGATCCAGGATCTTTAAAGATCATTTGGCTCTCTTTGCCTAATTAGGAGTAATAGTTTTAATGAAAAGGCTAACTGTATTCTCTGACCACTTTTACCTCTATAATTTACTCTGTTCTAGACTTTTGTTGTATGCTGTTATGCAGCTGTTGTGTGCTGCCAGAAGCGTAGTTGCTTTTCAGAGTGGATGATAGAAATCTTTCTAAGGCAAATATGTGGTTTCATAAAACTAAAATGTGGCAAGGTTCCTCAAACCGTTATAAGCACTTTGATGTTACTAATTTTTGGTAAACAGTGTGCATTTTAACGGTATTTTTTGAACAGTGTGCAAGCATGAATTTGATCTTCCCTTGTAAAAAGAAGCACTTTGAGTTAGAATGAAGCTGTTTATATTGCCTTTAGACACCCAAACCCACAGAGCAATCAGATTTTGAGATAACTGAAGAAGTATCACAGCTACTGCACACTGTGGCTAGGGAGGGAAATTACACATAAACCGGTGTGAGTGATCGGAAACCTGTTCAAATCTGTAATGCAACAGAAGTTCAGTGCACGTAAATCTTTTTCAAAATAGCCAAAACCAGCTTAAGATAAACTTGGATGGATGTAATATCAGACTTAACTTATTTAGGTCAAAGCATCTCTGGATGATTTGCACCTTCCCTGCAAAACTGCCTGCAGGCTAGTCTTGCCCAAAGCTGTCTCTTCCAGCCAGGCAGGGAAGAGTGCTCTAGTGCCCCTGGCTTCTGGCCTGGGCCACTGCAGACACGTGGCTGGATTTCTGGAATAAAAAGTGAATGTCTGTTCACTTGCTTATTGTTTCAATCTACACAGCTTAGACTAACCTGCAAAGATTGAATCAATTTAGCCTGAGACTTGTTAACTGTCTGTACTTAGCCTAAATTAGATGAAGGGCATATGTATAGAGAATATGGATGTAGCTAAACAAATAAAACCTCTAATCTAATGGGGATCCACTATCAACTTGTTGAAATACAGTTGATATATAATACACAGTGTATTATATGTTTGCTGTCACAAAGTGTTTCTAAAGATGTATGTTTTATTAAATAGTAGACTTCAGTGACACATTGCTTTGTCATATTTTCCATACCCACAAGTCAAAATATACTTAGCATAACACAGCTATGAAAAGAGATGGTAAGGTGATATTTCAGCGTAATTTGCTTGTTGCCAAATAAATTATTGTTCTCTGAATGCAAAGTATATAACCCAACTTTAAAATGAGTTTTACAGTTGTTTACGCTGTACCTTTTATGTATTATCATCATGTATTTTATTTTCAGAGTTCTACATCCAAAATGATACCCTGTGGACCAGCTTTGTCATTTGTTCGGTGTCTGTTGCGGAGGAAAATTGTTACTTTGGACAGTCTGGAAGATTCCAAGTTATGCCGATGTTTATCCACTGTGGACCTCATTGCTTTGGGCGTAGGGAGTACCCTTGGTGCTGGTGTTTATGTGCTTGCTGGAGAAGTAGCAAAAGCAGACTCCGGACCCAGCATTGTTCTTTCTTTCCTCA